TGTAGTGCTATGATGATTGTGTTTTAGTGTTATTTTTAACTTTGGTGTATTTTATTAAAAATAACAATAAAATTTTATTAGCATTTGTGGAAATAATAGCACAATGTAATATTAAAAATAGCATCATACACAATTAAAAATAGCATAAAATATGGTTCTCACGGTTCTCACACCAGACATAGTTTTTATTTGAACCAACGCACTTTTGCAATAAATTTGAATAAAATGTGTTACTTAAATATCTAAACAATTTAAAAATTCAAATGTTTAAATTAATTGATAATATAAAACTCTATTTTATTTAAATATGTAATTTTATTAAAATAATTTTAAATATAGCAAAATTTATTTAGAAAATCGTATCGATCCTACCAGTTCAACCGACGGGTGTTGATGTATTCAAAAGCAAATATTTTATTCAAGTGAACTAGACTGATTATAAACCGATTCTCGGTCCATCTGGTCGGACTGTGTCCAACACGGTTTAATTTAAAATGGGTAAATCTCGATTAATTTATTTGTATATTTAATTTATAACACAATCGTAATATTGTTTCACATGCATTGCACGAGCTATGCACTAGTTTCAATATAACAGTGGATATAGAAAAACAAGAATCAACCATTGATGCGTTTGTCCGATATACATTATCATAACTAATGTACTTAATTATCTCTTTTCCAATAATTTCAAAACAATGAAATTTTAAGGTAGATAAATTTTTTGATATTTTTTAGAATGACAAATAATTGAAATAAGTATTTAACCTGAAACGACATTTAAAATGAAATGAAGGAGGAGTAATCAGTAATTAGGAAAATATACGAAACTGTCACATGCAAAATAAATGTTAAAGCTATGGTAAGATTCAAATTTTTCTTTGAAATGTATTATCAAACTCTTGACCAAAAATTGAATTGCATAGACTAAATAATAAGGACATATTATTTTATTTCATATAATCAATCAAGTATTAGAGAACAAGAAAATTAAGACAATATAATCATTTCAAATTTGAATAAGAGCCCTAAAATAATTGTTGCACCTCAAAAAATATAGTTTCACTTTCTTCTTTCCATTTTGTAATAATAAAAAAATTCCGACTAATATTCATTTTTTTTAAAGTAAGTTTAAATACATTGTATTAAAGCTCTAAAGTTGTATGGGTCAAGTTTAAAGACTTAATTTGAGGAATACTTTTAGAAATCTAAACATATTTGGGGAAACGTGCTAGAAATGAGCATAAAATAATTAATTTAAAAGTTAGAACCTCATTATTTATTAGTTGCTTGTTTTGCACCTAACTAGTCCGGACCCGTGACCATTGCGATGCACGTGATAATATAATTTTTTTAAATATATAATTTATTCAGCATTAAAATTAATAGAGTTTTTATATATTTAACAAAAATAAACGGGAACGTAAAAATGTAAATATTATTAAACACTTCCTTGTACTCAACGTTTTTGGTTTAATTCATTGGCGAGTCATCATCTTCACATATTAATATTTTCGAACCATTTCGATTTGTGAAATATGAGAAAAAACAACGTATAATTGGTCATGACTGAAAACCGACTTTTTAAGAAATAAACCAACATGCGATAACAATTGTCTTTGGCTCTTGTTTACAGTCATGGTGTAGTATGAAACCATAATGGGAATCTGCCGCCCTTGGAACTTGATAGGAATTTTGGCATCAGAAGCAGTTATAGCCATCTAGAAAGCAACACTTTCTCAATTGCATGATCCCTAGTCAGTATCTTACACTCGAGAGTAGAGATCGAGTTTTGTCACGACCAACCTTGTCTCATTTCATAGACCCATAGAATGATCCATGTTCTGTAGCAACAATGACGGGAGTTTCAATCTTCAAATGCAATTGATGAGTTGGAATTCCCGAACATCTGATACTATTAAAAAACTCGGGCGTGTGGAGATCAGACAGAAAATCATTATTAGAGTCTGACTTGCAGTACTATCATAACTTAGTTAGTATGACCATCATACAAATTTCATGTATTCATTTATAGACTCAACAACATCTAAAGTCGGTGCTAATATAGTCATATCCTTCAAATAACTGAGATCATCAGTTGTCTGTAATTTATAATGATCTAATCAAACCTACCTAACAAGTAACAACACGTACAGAAACATATATATGCACAATAAATTAATTTACTACACATACTTGTTAAAAAAATGTAATTATCACCTACCTAACAACACATGCCAAACATATATATGCACAGTATATTAATTCTTCTTAATATACATAGAAGAAAGAAAAACCGTTTGATTGAACAAAACAGAGAGTGAAATAAAATGATCATTAGCTCAGTTCAAACTATCGGATGGTTTCCTTACGAAGTCATTCACCACTGGATGTATTGACATTTGTCCAAAGTGCATTTATTGTAGGACATGTGTCTATATATAATTTGTAAATTGTTGAAAAAATTTGAATGAACTTGTAACATAAGGTTTAAAAGTTTGAAACCGTGTATTTCATCTTAAAAACTTGTAACTTGTTTCATGTTACAAGATTAATCTTTATCTTTATTAAGTATTACATTAATTAGATTAATTAATTAATGTGTCTCATCTTATGGCTATATAACTTTTCTTTTGAAGAAAGGGCATACGAAAGGAAGAAATAAGGAAAGAAAATACAACATTCCCTCATTTTTTCTTTTAAGTGTTTTGGTCCAGACATAGTCTAGTTCGTCGAATTTGATTCGGTTTTTTCGTTGTATCCTGGGAAAGACGCTCATACGGGGCGAATCAGTTTTAAGGACCTATGTTTTCACATGCCTCGATATTATATTAAATAGTCATCTTATTTTTGTTTTCCCCATACAGTTCCATACAAGAATAAACGTGGATGACTCCATAAGTCGTGTCATCCGATGACTCTATAGCAAAGCTGTCTCTAAACAATTGTAGTTGAAACTTTATGGCAATTAGAAATTCTATGGAGTCGTCGGATGACTTTTTTATGGAGTCATCCATAACTTTATATACTGACACATGTTCAATGTGTGTTTATTGCAGGACACGTGTCAATATAATATTTGTCAATAACTATAATAGAGTCATCTGATGATTTCACAGCAAAACTGCACAAACAAATATGATACAAATTAAGTAACTCCATATTCACATATAAGTGCTTTTTAAGCATAATAAAATAATGATTAACAAACAAACAAACAAAAAAAAAGTGAAGAAGTGCTTTTTAATCACACGAGCTGCGAACTTAGTCAACTTACCCAATTTTCCAACTATCTATTATACGTAAATTGACTGCAATAAAGGAAAACGTGGTTTCTGAACAGAAAAATCTGGACCTTATAGTAAAAACTAATAGTGAGTTTGATTTAATTTTGTAACTGCTAAAAATCAGTCAGCTGATTTAATTATTTTTTCCGTGTGGGGGCGTGTATTATTCCGGTGGTATCAATGATTCTCAATTATTCGAGCTTAATTTGTAGTTTTATTTTATGTATTGTGGGTGTTTTGTCTAATGTTGCTAGCGAAGGTTCTAGGGAATCTTCGAATCCGTCATTTCAAATTTATTCGGCTTTTAGCTGTTGTATATTTTTCTCTCTTTTTATATTTGTGTATTTTTTAAAAATCTCTATTGTTTGAAAAAAAAACACTCCATACAATCTATATATAGTTTCCACACACAAACCACCATCACATTCACATCTCCTAAATACACAACAACCCAATAAGGAATAAAGAGAAAAAAAAGAAGATATTTTATATTTTATTAGAATTCATATATGATGACAACATCCCCATTGTTCATGTCCTTGCTCCTCACCTTGACCTCCATCTTGTCTGTGGCGGCCCCTCAGTGTTGTCCTTGGGGCCCTCCGACACCTCCGGCCTCGCCGTGGTGGTGGCATACACCTCCGGCCCCGCCGTGGTGGTGGAAGACACCTCCGGCCTCACCGCCGTGGTGGTGGAAGACACCTCCGGCCTCACCGCCGTGGT